CTGCTATGGAGCTTGTGGAGGTTTGTAATGGTTGAAATTTGCCATGAAATCTGGAATTTGTAAACATTACAGATGGAAATCAAAATGCTCTGATCATTCTGATGATATAAACCTATTTAATATTAATTTCATAAAATTCTAGCAAGAATTGTACACAAGAGCCATAACAATGCAATTTTCCAAATAATTAATGTTTCCAAGGGGCATAACTCTTTTAAAAATGAATGATTGGCACTGATTTTAAAACTTGTCAGACATTGTTGATATAACCTATCAAAATAAGTTTCCTAAAAATTTGACAAGAATTGTACAAGACATGCAAGTGAGAGCGCTTATAAGGCCAAAGGGATAGACAGACTCCAGGTATTTGTATGTCCCCTCTGTTTTATGGTGCTTGTCCTAAAGATACAAGAATAATTATAAGTTTACGATAAGGACCAAATATACTTAACATTACCAATGATTCATAAAAATATACTGTCAAGCAATTCATATTAAGGTCAAGTTCAGATAAACCAAGCCAGACAGACATGTGCACCTTACAACATTTACAATTATTGCATACACCAAACTAGAGGCTCCAAGGACCCTGTGTCGCTCACCTGATATTTTTATTTACAATTGATGCATGAAATAATGTAACTGTTATACTTTTGCTTTAGTTTCAGAGATACAAGTCAAAAACTGCATTTTCCCTTTATGTTCTATTTTTAGCCATGTCTGCCATGTTTTTAAAAACTAGATCCCCTAATGATGATTGTGGCCAAGTTTAGTTTATTTGTCTCTGTTGTTTCAGGAGAAGACTGTTGTGAATTAAAAAAAATTACGAAAAATTGTTAAATTTTACTTTAAAGGACAATAACTCCTTATCAGGTCAATTGACTATTTTGGTCATGATGACTTATTTGTAGATCTTGCTTTGCTGAACATTATTGCTATTTACAGTTTATCTCTATCTATAATAATATTCAAGATAATAACCAATAAAATGCTTCGCTGGGCGCAGCTTGATACGACCGCAGAGGTCGAACCCTGAACAGTTGGGGCAAGTATGGACACAACATTCAAGCTTGATACAGCTCTGAATTTGGATTGTGATTAAATATTTGACACAGCATAGGTTTCTGACACAGAAAGAATGTGGTCTAAGAACTTCAATTTTTTTAATTTACCTATTATGGTCCAATGCCCAAAATCAAAATACATGGTTAGATTCAGCATATCAAAGAACCCCATATATTCAATTTTTGTTGAAATCAAACAAAGTTTAATTTTGGACCCCAACTTGGACCAACTTGAAAACTGGTCCCATAATCAAAAATCTAAACACATGTTTAGATTCAGCATATCAAAGAACCCCAAAAATTCAATTTTTGTTAAAATCAAACTAAGTTTAATTTTGGACCCTTTGGGCCTTAATGTAGACCAATTTGAAAAACGGGACTCAAAATTAAAAATCTAAATACACGGTAAGATTTGGCATATCAAAGAACCCCAATAATTCAATTTTTGATGAAATCAAACAAAGTTTAATTTTGGACCCTTTTGACCTCAATATGAACCAATTTGATAGCGGGCCCACAAATAAAAAATCTAAATACATGGTAAGATTCAGCATATCAAAGAACCCCATATATTCAATTTTTGTTGAACTCAAACAAAGTTTAATTTTGGACCCCAATTTGGACCAACTTGAAAACTGGGCCAAAAATCTAAAATCTAAATACATGTTTAGATTCAGCATATCAAAGAACCCAAAGTCAATTTTTGTTGAAATCAAACAAAGTTTAATTTTGGACCCCAACTTGGACCAACTTGAAAACTGGGCCCATAATCAAAAATCTAAACACATGTTTAGATTCAGCATATCAAAGAACCCCAAGAATTCAATTTTTGTTAAAATCAAACTAAGTTTAATTTTGGACCCTTTTGACCTTAATGTAGACCAATTTGAAAACGGAACCAAAAATTAAGAATCTAAATACACGGTTAGATTCGGCATATCAAAGAACCCCAAGAATTCAATTTTTGATGAAATCAAACAAAGTTAAATTTTGGACCCTTTGGACCTCAATGTGGACCAATTTAAAAACGGGGCCCAAAATCCAAAAACTTAATACTTGGTTAGATTCAGCATATTAAAGAACCCCAAGAATTCAAGAATAAAACCCCATTGAAATTGATCAAGAAATAAGCAATTTATACGAAGTATCTTCTTTTGCACAATACTGTGCAATTGAATATTTCTTGCTATTGTGCAATACTGTACAATTGACAATTTCTTGCTATTGCGCAATATTGTGCTATTGGATATTTCTTGCTATTGCGCAATACTGTGCAATTGAAGATTTCTTGCTATTGCGCAATACTGTGCAATTGAAGATTTCTTGCAATTGTGCAATACTGTGCAATTGAAAATTTCTTGCTATTGCACAATACTTATTATATAATAATTTACACATCCTGTTTGGTGTGTATCTCCTACCATATCATTATTATTTGCTTTTAAATATTAATCAGAAATAACCAACTTAAAATGGAAAACTTTAAAAGAAAAAAAAAAAGGAAAAAAAGAAAAAAAAGAAAAAAAAATCCCCCCCCCCCAAATTTTTTGAACCCCCTTATGATTCATCACCCCCAAACTCAATCCCAGCCTTCCCTTTGTGGTATGGTACCTTGCAGTACAATTTCAGAGAGATCCATACACTTGAACACAAGTTATTGTCTGGAAACTAGAAAAATGCTTATTTTTGGCCCCTTTTTGGCCCCCTATTCCTAAACGTTTCGGGCAATTACCCACAAACTCAATTCCAGCTTTCCCTTTGTGATATGGAACCTTGTAGTACAATTTCAGAAATATCCAAACACTTACACACAAGTTATTGTCATGAAACTAGAAAAATGCTTGTTTTTTGCCCCTTTTTTGGCCCCTAATTCCTAAAATTTTGAGGCAATTACCCCCAAAATCAATTTCAGCCTTCCCTTTGTGATATGGAACCTTGTGGTACAATGTCAGAGAGATCCATACACTTACACACAAGTTATTGTCTGGAAGTTACAAAAATGCTTATTTTTGGCCCCTTTTTGGCCCCTAATTCCTTAACTGTTGGTACCATAACCCCCAAAATCAATCCCAACCTTCCTTTTGTGGTATTGAACCTTATGGTAAAATTTCATGGAGGTCCATTCACTTAAACTAAAGTTAGAGTGCGAAAACCAATGTGTCTTCGGACGACGGCGGACGACGCCAGACGACGACGACGACGACGCTGACGCCAAGGTCATACCAATATACGACCAAAAAATTTTCAATTTTTGCGGTCGTATAAAAACTACAAAATTTCCTTAAAATTACTAATTCAAAGGCAGCAACCCAACAACAGACAGATATATTATATATCATAATCTGATGAACATATTTTACCCAATGTCAAATTGTCTCTAAATGCTTTACTTTCAGAGATATAATCCAAAAACAGCATTTTACCACTATGTTCCATTTTAAGCAATGTCTGGTAGGCGGGGTCATCAGACACACTTTTTACACTAGATACCCTAATGATGATTGTGGCAAAGTTTGGTTAAATTTGGCCAAGTAGTTCCAGAGGAGAAGATTTTTGAAAAAGTTAACAGACGACGACGCCAAGTGATGAGAAAAGCCCCCCCCCCCCCCCCCTTTTTTTTTTACAAAAAACTCAATATCTCTAAAATAAAATTTTGAATCAAAACCAAAAGGTATACAGATCTTTAGATTAATATAACTAAGAAGTGTGTAAAATTTCAAGCAATAATCATAAATCGTTTTTGAGGTACGGAGCGACATGTGAAACCCCCCTTTTTAAAAAAAAATCAATATCTCTAAAATAAAATTTTGAATCAAAACCAAAAAGTATACAGATCTTAAGATTAGTATAACTAAGAAGTGTGTAAAGTTTTAAGCAATAATCATCAATTGTTTTTGAGATACGGCGCGACATGTGACGAAAAACCACACACCTGTTTTAGTTACTAAGTCCCGTAACTCAAAAAGTTTTAATCTTATTTTCACCAAAAAGTATACAGATTGTTTGACCATCATAAGAAACAACTATCTTATTTTTCATGAAATTTGGATAAGTCGTTCTCAAGTTACGGTGCGACATGTTTACGCCGGACAGACAGACGACATTTGTATACCATAATACAAAAAATGTACATCCCATCAAAACTTTGACGGATGTATAAAAAGCTGATCTTTTAATTGATTATACATGTAGCATGTATAGTATACACTAAACAGACTAAATTATTAAATCTTAATATTGACCAATGAACCATCCAAATCAGATCATGCATGGTCAGATGAACTCTGTCCAGACAGACATCATGGACATGTACAACTTACAATCATTCCATACATCATATATACTTGACATATTGCCTACAAGAAATAAAAGTTAACATTGACCAATGAACCATGGAAATGAGGTCATTGTTCATTCTAAACACCAAATACAGTTGATCTACTCAAGTTCTGCTTACTATATCTGAGAAAAGGACCGACATGTGTTAATCACGTAACTTTTACCTTGACAGCTCCATGAAGTAAGGTCAGGTGATCCTGTCTCACAGACATGTACGTGTACATATAAACATTGCAAGGAACCAATATTCCAAATACAGATATCCTAATTTACTCATAATGTAAAAAAAAAGAAATTCACAAAGCAAAAAAGCCTAAACTTTTTTTCAAGCAGTCGCTGAACCATTAAAATGTGATCCAACATGGCCAACCAACATATGATGGACAGAAACATTGTAAAAAAAGGCATCTGTATACAATTTATGAAACATCCAAGTCAACTACCCTATGAAATATACATTGTAAAGCTTAATAATACAAATAGTAAAACCCAGCAGCCACTACCTTATGCATGAACTTCCCTTTTTTGAAATTGCCTTCAGTATTTTTGTTATTGTTATACCATTTGGACTATTAATACTGTAACAAATATACATACCAGTTACATATACATGTATTGTAGATATAGGATCTCCTCTACGTCTTATCCCATCATTAATCATATTAATTTCATTGAAACATATGATGTGTATTACTTCCATTCCACTGACATCTGAGGAGTTAATTCTGAAAATTTAAATTCCTGTGATTATCACGTAAAACACCTGAAATTGATGCACTGCTTTCCGATAAAAAATAAATTGGCAATACAGTTCTCTCTTGGTCATGTTGGTGAATATTTCAAAAAAAATATTTAACGAGAGAGAAAATAAGTGTCAGTTTTTTAAAATTTTATATTACCAATACTGGTAATTAGAATGTCACTAGTTTTCTGATTTGAATTGACATTTATTGTTATTCATTTTTTCAGGATCTTGTACAGCTGACACTACAGTATGGTTTTGTTCATTGTTGTAGGTCATACAGTGACCTAAAATTTCTTACATCCCCTTCATGTCGACTGGCAGAAAGTTTTCTCATTGGCAATCCTACCCATCTCCTTATTTTTAAAATACTAAATATTTTCTATCTGTGACAATAAAATTTTATTGATTTAATATAAAGGTATTCTGATCAACACTATGAGGCAATGTTCAAAACACTCTGTCATTGTCAGCGATCAAATTTATTTTAACTCCAATGGCAATGTATTTGTGCAAGACCCAAAAGTACTGCACATGTACATGATATACCCACATACATGTACATATTCAATGTACTTAATAAATCAGTGAGACATAAAATGTAGGTCAAAAAGATATCATGCTGCATCATAATTTATACAATGCAAGTCATAATCATGTACATGATATTTGAACTTTATAATAGTAAAGGATAGATAGTCTGACCAGTAATAAAGCCACACAACACTGTGTGACAACAGTGAAATATAAGTCACCCATAGATCCACATACCATTATTGCAGGTCTTTTGTATATATACAATGTATACGTTTAAGGTTACTTAGAATTGGCTGTCGACATACATGTTCACATGCCAGTACTGTCATGCATTTTCAGAGTCATTGGACCCTAGGTTACTCCAGTCCATTATCAGTCAACTCCTCTGACCATTTGTTGTAATACAATGTACTGCTGAAAGGGAGAAAACAGTACTTTATTAACAGCGTGTAGATGCAAGACTATAAAAAGTATTCAAAGAGTTTTGCAAACAATTAGCTTATATATTTATTGTTTACTAATATTAAACACGTATTATCAAACATCAAAAAGCAATGGATTGAAGTTGCTATTAACATGATTAAGAACAACAAAGAAAAATTAAAATTAAATTTTTTACCCTTTGGACCTTTATTATGGTCCAATATCAAAAATCTAAATACATGGTTAGATTCAGCATATCAAAGAATCCAAAGAATTCAGTTTTTGATGAAATCAATCAAAGTTTAATTTTGGACCCTTTTGACCTCAATGTGGACCAATTTGATAACGGGGCCCAAAAATCAAAAATCTAAATACATGGTTAGATTCAGCATATCAAAGAACCCCCATACATTCAATTTTTTTTTAAATCAAACTAAGTTTAATTTTGGACCCCAATTTGGACCAACTTGAAAACTGGGCCCAAAATCAAAACTCTAAATACATGTTTGGATTCAGCATATCAATGAACCCCAAGAATTCAATTTTTGTTAAAATCAAACTAAGTTTAATTTTGGACCGAAAAAAAATCCCCCCCCAAATTTTTTGAACCCCCTTATGATTCATCACCCCCAAACTCAATCCCAGCCTTCCCTTTCTGGTATGGTACCTTGCAGTACAATTTCAGAGTGATCCATACACTTGAACACAAGTTATTATCTGGAAACTAGAAAATGCTTATTTTTGGCCCTCATTCCTAAACGTTTAGGGCAATTACCCCCAAACTCAATTCCAGCTTTCCCATAGTGATATGGAACCTTGTAATACAATTTCAGAAAGATCCATACACTTACACACAAGTAATTGTCATGCAATTAGAAAAATGCTTGTTTTTGCCCCTTTTTTGGCCCCTAATTCCTAAAATTTTGAGGCAATTACTCCCAAATTCAATCCCAGCATTCCCTTTGTGATATGGAACCTTGTGGTACAATGTAAAAAAAATGCTTATTTTTGGCCCCTAATTCCTTAACTTTTGGTACCATAACCCCCAAAATCGATCCCAACCTTCCTTTTGTGGTATTGAACGTTATGGTAAAATTTCATAGAGATCCATTCACTTAAACTAAAGTTATTGTGCGAAAACCAACGTGTCTTCGGACGACAACAACGCCAACGTCATACCAATATACGACTGCAAAAATTGTTTGCGGTCGTATAAAAATGTTGCAAATAAGAAATTTTGTCAATTTGTAGTTTTACCAACATTTTAAACATACAGTTTTAGTTTATATCTAATTATTAGTAAAATTGAAATAAATGAACCTTTTGCTTTATTTAAATAGCATGGTTTTTATACGACCGCAAAAAAATTTTTGTGGTCGTATATTGGTATGACGTTGGCGTCGTCGTCGTCGTCGTCCGGCGTCGTCGTCCGAATACACATTAGTTTTCGCACTCTAACTTTAGTTTAAGTGAATGGATCTCAATGAAATTTTACCATAAGGATCAATACGACAAAAGGAAGGTGGGGATTGATTTTGGGGGTTATGGTACTAACAGTTAAGGAATTAGGGGCCAAAAAGGGGCCAAAAATAAGCATTGTTGTAACTTCCAGACATAACTTGTGTGTAAGTATATGGATCTCTCTGACATTGTACCACAAGGTTCTATATCACAAAGGGAATGCTGGGATTGATTTTGGGGGTAATTGCCTCCAAATTTTAGGAATTAGGGGCCAAAAAGGGGCAAAAAACAAGCATTTTTCTAGTTTCATGACAATAACTTGTGTGTAAGTGTATGGATCTCTCTGACATTGTATCACAAGGTTCCATATCACAAAGGGAATACTGGGATTGATTTTTGGGGGTAATTTCCTCCAAATTTTGGGAATTAGGGGCCAAAAAGGGGCAAAAAACAAGCATTTTTCTAGTTTCAGGACAATAACTTGTTTGTAAGTGTATGGATCTTTATGAAATTGTACTGCAAGGTTCCATATCACAAAGGGAAAGCTGGGTTGGAGTTTGGGGGTAATTGCCCTAAACGTTTAGGAATTAGGGGCCAAAAAGGGACAAAAAAACAAGCATTTTTCTAGTTTCCAGACAATAACTTGTGTTCAAGTGAATGGATCTCTCTAAAATTGTACTGCAAGGTACCATACCACAAAGGGAAAGCTGGGATTGAGTGTGGGGGCGATGAATCATAAGGGGGTTCAAAAAATTTGGGGGGGAAGATTTTTTTTTCCTTTTTTTTTCTTTAAAATTTTCCATTTTAAATTGGTTATTTCTGATTTTTATATAATAGCAAATAATAATGATATGGTTTGAATAGCATACATGTGAACCTCCCGACAGGAGTACAATAATCCTGTTTTCAGGAGTCTCCTCCCAACCTCCGGTTGACCAGGAAAATTATAATCCCGTGTATGAAATTTTTCATGAATGAAAAATTTCTGCCCAACATATCATCTCAGGCATCTGGTGTAACTCACATTACCTGAAGTTATATTTTACCTGTAAATCAATTAACATGCATAATTATATGGCTTCACTTGTCAGCTTGGGTGTCAAACATACTGGTAATCAATGATTTTTTACCTCAGGCTAACTGCCGTTGTGTAACAAAAACTGTGTATTTATTGGGTTACTTCCCTTGATTTATCCTGTTTTAAGTTACTTTCCTTTTAATAATGAAAATTTTTAAAAGAATATAAATAAAATATAAATTGAACAAATAATCATAAAAGGATGGTAAATAAATGATTTTAAATGTCTTAGGACAAATAAAAAAATAATAATTTGAAAATTATTTGAGGATTCTATACTTCCTTTCAAGGCTTAAATTGAAATTTATATAATAACTATGACCCTTGATTTACAGTTAGAATGATTTTCTGAGTATGCAAACAAAAGCTATTTGCAGATAGTTAAACAAATGTTCTGGTTGCAATAAATGTTTTATAGAATATGAAGTAAAAAATTTAAAGAACATACTGAAAAAAAAAAATGTTAGATTGAACATGTAAAATATAAGGATGGAGAAACTTTATAAGTACAAGGGTACTATAAACATAATAAATTGGATGGAAAGTTGAAGAAAACACACTTTAAAAGACCATTTTTACAGCACACGGTTACATTTACGACAAAATTTATGTCGATTAAAAACCTCCTGATCTGAGTCCTAATCTCCTGACCAAAATTTCCCAATCTCCTGATCTGAGTTTCACAGTCCATCACATGTATGAATAGGTAAATTAAAAAATTATAAGTTCTTAGACCACTTTCATTCTGTGTCAGAAACCTATGCTGTGTCAAATATTTAATTACAATCCAAATTCAGTGCTGTATCAAGCTTGAATGTTGTGTCCATACTTGCCCCAACTGTTCAGGGTTTGACCTCTGCGGTCGTATCAAGCTGCGCCCCAGCGGAGCATTTTATTGCCTTTGATGCAATAATTCAGCTATCAATTTGATTTTTGATGAAAAAATGCTAAAATAAAGGCTTTAAATAATGAACTTTTCTTTCTTAACAGATAATAAACATTTTAATATTTGTTATCATGGTTTTATCTATTTCAATCATGCATGTATGTTTTTCAATTTTCAGAAATAATTGTTTTTTTAAAGTTGCATGTAAATTCTCAAAGTATAACCTGTGACGAAAAGTTGGTTATACAACTTCAACTAAAGTGTGTATCCTTGTGTTTGTGCTGTGTTGTTGAGTGTATTAGTTTCAGGTCGTGCCTTTCACTCGTACACAGTGTCACTGATTACAGTGTTACAGGATTACCCTAGAAAAGAACTGGTAGCGTGATTGATGGAATCCTGGTGTAGTCTGAACGAAGTCTTGCCAGTGAACATTAACACAAAGTTGATTAAAAGTTCAATTCTCATTACTGAATTATTCAAAATCCAAAGTAACAGTAATATAAGTTTACAACATCTATTAAAACTGCAGGCTCAACAATACAGTGGCATAATCTTAAATCTCTGAAGTACATTTCTCTGGTACACAAAATCGTAACTCCTTCTCTACAGCTATTTCTCTTTTTTATACCTCTATTTGCCCTAGTAACCTGATTACAATATGGTTAAATGACTCTGAACAAAGAAATAATCAACCGGAGCTAGGGCTACAGGAGCCCGGAGCTGAGGTCAATTCATAGAATCAAACATTATTTTTTCAAACCATGAGTTGGATGACGAAGATGGAATTTTTTCTTCGAGTTTTCTTGTTTTGTATCAACTTTTGAGTATACATGTGTGTGTGTCTAATAGGTGTTTATTTTAAACGGAGTTTTACAACTGTGAACTGATCAGGACAAAAGACGAAAAGTTGAAAAACATTCTCACTATTTCTGTTTATTTCTGCACTATTAAATCATTTATTTGAGTTACCTGTTTTATTTCCTCGAGTTTCTATGCGTTCATAACTCCTTGATTGTGTTTGTCTCGTTAAATAAACAGAAACAAGTACTTGTTCAAGTTGTTGTCAGTTGCAATTGGCTACCGGCGTCTTCAATTTGCATCATTCATCTGAATCATTCAAGCGTTTTAAAAACCGACCTCCGGTCCCGGATATCGTCACGAAGAATAGTTATCCATGACCATGTGCAAATAGTACATGCTGGTTTCCCCATTCAATAGTCTATTATAGACCAATATCCAGTGTTTCTTAGCATAATCAGCATCCCGACTTTACTGACTCAATTCATTTTTAAAATGATATTTACTGCTTAAAGTCCTGACTAAGTAAGACCAGAGACATATATATTGTATTATATGTCTCTGGTAAGACATATAAATGAACAAATAACAAATTCGTTTGTTTACAAGCATCATTTACATAGGAGCACCCCTTTAGTAGAGCATAAAGTTTAACCCTTAAAACTGTTTGATATATTTTAATATAATATAAACTATATTGTTAGATAGAATTTCAATGAAGTTATTTCATTTAGTTGAAGAATATATCGATATGTTTAATCCAATTAACAGCCTGTCTAATTGGCAATCATACCCTCACATTTATTACAGCTAAATAATATTAGAGACATTATTTAAATTAGTTTAATGCCTCTGGTAATAATTTAATGTCAATCAATAATTTTCGATAACATACATAGCACATTAATGCATTTGCCTGGGACACTATATAGGACTTAAAATATGTTTATTATCTATAAATTTTAAAAGATAATTAAAAATATTTGAAAATTATACAGCATTTTTAGGTGTAAAATTCCTGTTTTTTCATGTTTCAAGACTGTAGTTTTTTTTTTAATAAATAATATCAGATCTATCGAAGTTGTAAATTTAACCAACCATTCGCTATAAATTAACAAATTATTTCAGACAATCCTTAATTTTCTCCTTAAAACATACTTATTAATAAGCCAAATAAAAATATACATTGGCGGATTTAGAACTTTTCATAGGGTGGGAGCACTTACTGACCTTAAACATGGTGGGGGGGGGGGGGGGGGGGGGCTCCAGTCATGCTTCAGTGATTCCCTATATAATCAACCAAAATTTTTCCCACAAGGGGGGGGCAGATGATATATGTAGTTACCCTAACTACCCTACTTTTTAGTCTTAATAATAGCCTACCCTAAAGATTTTTTTGTCATTTTTCATTAAGCACTGTTAAGTCAGAATGTTACTCCCATAGACTCATTGAATGTAAAAAAAAAAACACAACATAAAATTTAAATAAATCCCTACCTAGTTACTACTGAAATTATAAAATTAATATTTAGTTTAAAATTTTTTCCCCATTGATTGACAAACCCTGACTACTCATTAACTCAAAAGGAAAAATTGAGAAATCTTGATCATTATAAAAAGGTTTATAAAATATTTTGAAGTGTACCAACACATAAATTGCAATCCAGTTGATACACATACAATCCCTGAAAGAAGATATTTTCTTTTTTCTTTCTTTTTTTTAGATGAGGGAGTAGTTAGCATTTACCGCTTTTGTATAATCATATTAAATCAAACATTTTTCATATTTCTGATAGCAAAGCAGTTTTAAAAATATACTGCACTTCCAATATGTATACTTTGACATGTTTGATAAACATTCAATTTAACATTTATTGACAACATTTGGCCCAATAAAATTCTTTTCAGCACACTTACTTATTTTTATTCATATGTCCTATTGTTAATCTTATGTGTGGTTCAAAGCTCAAAATTGCACTTGACTTATAAGTTTGAGGAAAAGTTTAATACACAGCAAAAAAGGGAGATAACTCAGGTTTTGAAGTGATATTCATTATCAATTTTTTTCTTTGCAATTATGGAAAGTAAAGGATCTTAATTACAGTAACAGGAATCTATTTCAAAAGCTGGAGTTACCTCCCATATTTTATAAGAGTACAAAAATAAAGGAAACTTTAAATGTGTGAAAGAAATTAAGTTTACTGATAAATGAAAATAGAAATATTACTGATAAATCAATATTAGCCCATCAATATATTCTAAGTATCTTAGGAATTTGAAATCAAAGATACAAATTCTACCATTATTGCTCTACTAGAGATAAATATAAACAGTGATAGAAAATACAACTCAAAACCAACACTGATCTTTTTGTAGTTGCATCTTATCCACTATCAAGGGAGATAATTCATGCGAAATAAAAAGATAAATATTAATCATTTGATGGTTATATGTCCCCCTTTAATGTAAATTATATTAAAGTGCTAGTAAAAATGTTCTCCTGAGTATGTTTTTAAAATGTTTATTGTGAAATTTTGTTAGAATTTGTTAATTTTTGTATTTCAAACAAATAAAATATCTATATTCTTATTCTAATTCTTCTTCAATAATTATTTTTACATTTTGGCGATTATGTCAAAATGGCAATAATTAGTGCACACACTTAATTATTTTAAACAGTGATTTTATCTTGTGCAAAACCAACCACGTAAGCACATTATATAAAAAATTAGCCTTGGTCAGATCAAATGAATTTCACGTGAATTTCACGTTAGTCAGATCATGTGAAATTCACCTGAGTCAAATCATGTGAAATTCACGTGAGTCAAATCATGTGAATTTCATGTGAGTGAGATCACGTGAATTTCACGTGAAAAAAAGTTTATGTGAAATTCACATGAATTTCACATGAGTTTCACATTAACAAGTTCACGTTAAATTCACGTAAGTCAGATCATGTGAGTTTCACGTGAATTTCATGTGAATTTCACGTGAAAACTGTTCACGTGAAATTCACATGAAAAATTCACGTGATATTCACGTGAGCAAAAATTCACGTGAAATTCATGTGAAACTCACGTGAATTTTACGTGACTTTCACGTGAAATGAGACTCACGTGAAATTCACGTGAACAAAATTTGCCTGTGTATAATATGTCAAATATTTAATTACAATCCAAATTCAGACCTGAATCAAGCTTGAATATTGTGTCCATTTTTGCCCCAACTGTTCAGGGTTGGACCTCTGCGGGCGTATCTAGCTGCGCTCAGCGAAGCAGTTTATTTGTTATTATCTTAGATATCATTATAATATCTAATACTATTAATTATGATTTTAACCTTATTTTACATGATTTCCAAAGCATCAGTAAATACAGGTGAGCAACACAGGCTCTTGAGAGCCTCTAGTTTCCTGTTATGTTGAAAAATTCAATATGTAGGCAGAAATTTAAGACCTTGAGAATGATTAGCTGGACAAAATCTACAAAAAAGTCTATTATCGCACAGCGGGTAAATTATCACGTTGTAATTGGTTTAACACTGTCAAGTGGTGACCCCCATGGACCATGGGGGATTCATGACACCACATCTTCTGTTAATGGTGACGTAATCTATTAATGTTGTGTTTCATTGTTTATTTTTTTACTGCAGAAAAAGTACCACATGCAATAAATTCATTATACATTTTTTTTATGCTTTTTCAAAAAGCAGTATACATTGTGTTTCAAATGTGATCAACATGATAGTTTACTAAACTCTTTTGTCAAGGTACATAAAATATTAAAAAAAATATGTATCCGACATGTGAGATAAAGAAATGGTAGGTTGAGAGTTTATATGTTCACTGGTTGTTTCATTCTTAAAGATGGATTTGTACAGTTATGAACATATAATTGGAGCAGTAAATGAAGGAGGTAACCACTTGGTTTTACTGGTAAGGAATATAATGTATATTGAAATATTGGTGGATTTGTATAATTTTGTTATCTTAAGATATTAATAATATACAATAAAAAAAGGGTGTATTTTTGCCAATGAGACTACTCTCCCCTTTAGACCAAATTATGTAGAAGTCAACAACTACAGTTCACCTAATGTCTTTCAACAATAAGCAATACCCATACCGCATTGTAAGCTGTAAAATGTACCAAAATGACAAATGTTAAACAAATCAGAAAACTATCAACTTGATTTCTGTCCAAAACAAATGAAAAACAAATATGGCAAACAGCATCCTAAATGACAATCACTGAATAACAGGCTTCTTGCTTAGAAACGACATATACCATGTATACAAAATGTTGCCATGTTTAACATGTTTGCAGGTGCACAACCCGCCCCTAACCTCAGACATGTGGTGTCAAAGCACAACATAAGAACAGCATATTTAAATCCCTCTCAGCATGCTGGTTCATAATAAAGTTGTATATCCATAAAACCTTGGAATGTTATCATCCTGAATATGCATTTGATTTCCTACTAAACCTTAACCAGCCTCTCATCATCATCATTATCATTATCTTTATCATCATCTGATTAGAATGAAATACATGCCATTTCTTTAAATGGTTGATGTAAGCAACTGTTGTTATCATCTCAACCAAGATGTTTACTGTTTATTAGTATGAGGAATTCATTTGAATCCTTTCAAAACTATTGCAGCATTATGGGTGTCTTCCTTAATTCATTCATTACTTAAGGCTTTTGTATGTTGATGAAACTATACACATTTGCAGTACACTAACAAAGGATATGATCAAAGAATGTATTCCTGTTCCCAAATCAACTTCCTGTTTACTACCTTTCAGTAGCAAGCAATAAATCACAATCACTCTTACGATATGACAGGCAGTAACTTCAACTTTCACAATACATACAATTTTTATCTTACCCATTGAGCATTATAATTTCGGTTAAATATTTATGAGCCACCATAAGGAATGATAAAACATTAGTCCAGATCTTTGTAATGTAGAGTTTCACAGAGTAAGCAAGTTAAAGATCTATGACACATTAAAAATAATCAGTTCATAATACATGTGTACTGAAGAGTTTTTCATTGGGTTAACATAATCAGGGCATTAAGTAGTGTGCAGTTCTGATATTGTCTCTCTCTAACGGGCCTACCATGTTGAAATAGACAAAATCTGTGGAGCCATAATCCTTGTAAATACCGGTATTTGTCCCTTTTTGAAAAAAATATTCAAAGCATAATATTTCATCTGATTTCTTGGTCAAATTGGTGATATCTACTTTATCAACCTTCATAGGTTCACATGTTACAGTTGCATAAGATGGTTATTTGTGTATACCTTCAATATCATACGTTCTTACTCAATTTTCTTAAATAAATTATTACATTATTCAATTTCGATTACATGCCATTTTACATAGTGTTTGCAAGTTGTTTTATTATGTGTTAATTATGAAAAACCCATATCCTTACTTATCCAGATAATTTTTTCCTAAGGTCAGGCAAATTTTGTACTTCAACCCACTTGGTGAGCTATAACG